TACATGTTTTTAAAGAAAACAAATGTGTGGGAAAAATATGTTGTTTGTTTTTTGCCAAACCAAAGTATGAATCTGCCCTCGTAGGGAAGTTTCTTGGCCATGCCACTGACTGCAATTTCCAAAGTGTCATCTGTATTTTTCAGTTCTTCCATGTATAAAGAATCCAACAGCAGTTTCCTTCAAGGTTGAGTAAGTTTGAATGTTTAGGGGGCTGTAGCCACAAGATTTGGCAAACTATTCACTTGTCATGTTAATAAAAAAGGAATTGTTTCTGCCTCTTTAAGCTAGTAGCTAAATGAAGGGCTTGGATCAACTGGATTTTAATCATGAAGTCCGGATTCTTCTTGCTTGCACGTGAATAACTTTGTGGTGTTCAGGGTTTTCATCCGATTTAATTTTATTTAGAAGAGGAACTGAGCTTCTTTTCTTCCCTGATACCAACTCTTGAATTTGCTGACTTGTTATGCTCTTCAAACCTAATCGGTTTTCTTGATCTTAAAATGAAAATCGAGCCTTTCTGCACTTATTTCCCAAAAGCAATTGAATTGAAAAGTGGGGTGGTTTGGGGTTTTTTTCCAACTCCTGAAGTTGTTTTTTATAGATGGCATGTTAGCTTTGAGGGCTGTTTCATGACTGGTAAAAGCTTATACCTTGTAAAATCCATAGCTTTTAATGCATTTTGTTTCTCACTTCAAACACAGTAACGAGAGAAGAATTAATAGAATATTTCATGGTCGTGCTGTTTCAACAGTTCAGATTCTTTTTATATGGTGATGCTGATTTTGTAGCTCCAAATGCTTGGGCTTAAAATTTGATTTCCTAAATTCCTTCGTCTGAAAATGTTGAAACCTACAACAAGCTGTAATACACCCTGAAGAACTGTCTTGCTTACATGATTACTTTTCCACTACCATGGAGATTACAAGAAACTGGATCAGATAAATAATTATATTACCTGTGGAATGCAAAAACACTGGGTAGAAACATTTATTCCTGAAAACAGCTTTTCCCCACTTTTTTTCTCATGATTTGTGTTAATATTTACAAAGTATCACCCTTGACCAAACTCTGATTAATGTTGGGTTGCCATATGGAAATCTGGTGTAACCCACCATAAATATCAATGTATTTTGGCAAAATATTTTCTTGCTATTTGTCTGAGGAAAAAACTTTTCTTCTTGCCTTCATCTCTTGGGGTGATGGGGAAATTGAGACACTCATGAGGGGCCAAGGTGCGTGTTCCTTCAGGAATAAAGAAAGAAATAAAGAAATAATCAGATCTCTGGTTCCTAAAAATCAGCTTAGTTCACATGGGGTGACTTTGGTCACAAATAGATTCTGGGTGACCACAAATTTGTTGATTAGGTGCAGAAATTCCTCCCTGGCAGGGTGGGCAGGCCCTGGCACAGGTGCCCAGAGCAGCTGTGGCTGCCCCTGGATCCCTGGCAGTGCCCAAGGCCAGGCTGGAATTGGGGTTTGGAGCAGCCTGGGACAGTGGGAGGTCTCTGCCCATGGCAGGGATGGAACAAGTTGATTTTCCAAGGTCCCTTCCAAGTTCCCTTCAAGATTCCCATCAGATTTTCAGTGCAAGCCTGCAGGACAAGCCTAGAGCTGGACGATGCTTTGCCTGCCAAGTTGTTCCATTGGAATAAAGAGGAATATTGAAATAGGAAGGGCTGAAAATGAGCAAATGTAGCAGAGGGTGAATACATCCAAAATGACCTGTGTGGGACTCATTCAGTGAGCCAAGCAGAGCTGCTTTGTGCCTGACAGGTCTGAATTTGACACAGTCCTTTGTAAACAATAAATCAATGCAGGTTGTTTCTATGAGTGCATAAAAGGTGTGAGAACTGTAATTTATTTTATAATAAATACTTGTGCTAAGCAAACAGTGAATGCAGCTATTAGAGACTTTCTCAAATAAGTGATTTTAGGCTGCTGAGTGCCAGCTACTGATGTGGTAGTCAAGCTTTTAAAATGAAAAGCCTGAATTCCTTTTGAAGATTCTCCTGAATGCTGTTGACACTTGTGCTAGGAAAGAATACAGAGTAATTTAATTCATTACGTTACTTAAAGATAGCATTTATGGTTGCAGCATTACCCTCCATCGCTGTGCAGACTGCTAGGCTGGATGTGTTTACTTGAATTTTTTTGGAGAAGTTGCATCCTTTTATTAGGTGTGTTGGAAAGCTTGGGAGAAAAAAAAAATAGGAGGGAAAGGGGAGTTCAGGATCAGTCAGCTGGTGTGTCTGGATACAAGGACAAAGGGACAATTTTGCCTTTGGCTACAGTTTGACACTTTACTGGATTCAGTCAGAATTATCTGTGCACGCTGAAGGGCACAAATGTCATTTTTATGGCATTCTATATCCTTGGTTGCCTTTTTTTTGTGATTGGCTGTGTATACCAGTGCTGTAATAGAGCTCTTAAATCCTGACCCTGGCCAAAATGGGACACAAATACCGGTATTAATATTTCTCTCCATTTTAAATGCAGGGTTGAGTCTTTTTACCTTGTTTTTCCAACACCATCATATGTTTGCCTGGCAGCCACTCACCTTTCCTCTGGCTCAGGGTGCTCCTCTGCTTTGCAGCTCTTGGTCCCCTCTCCCCTTGCTCCACTGGCCTTGGATATCCCTCTGTTCCTTGCTTCTCTGTCTTCTCCAGTTTCCTGACCTTTGTCTCCCCTTTCCTTGCCCCTTTCAAAATGGCTAAAGGTCTTTGGATGGCTCCAGACTCACTCACACTTCCCCCCCTTCCCACTCATCTTTTCTCCATCAGAGTCTTCTTCCTTCCTGCCAGAAAACAAAAAGGTTTCCCTGGCTGAGCTGAAACCCCATCCTCTGCTCCCAAAGCCAGGCACTCTTCCTCTCCCAATCCCAGAGGTTTTTGCTTGCAAGTCTTTCACTCCTCTCAGGTGCTGTGTTGTTCCAGGCCTTTGGCTGATGCCTGGCACCCCCTGTTTGGGTGGAAATGCAGGGATTTTATTGTTCTCCCCACCCTGCAGAGAAGGAGAGGAAGCTGGACTGGCTTCAGCTGTAGGCAGAGTGCTGGGATGGGACATTCCCAGCTCTGCTCTGTGACACAACCCAGGCATCATTTACTGGCTCCATATAACCTGAGGCATTCACACATAAATTGAGCCCGAATGCAGAAGCTTATATAAAGAGAATCTTTAAACTATCCTGGCTACAAATATTTGTGAAGTGCTGGGAAGAATCTTTTTAATGTGTTTGGATGCTCTTCCCTCTTATCTCTGTTACAGATATACAGTGGGGTCACTTGCATGGGCTTTGGGACATCTTTTTCACATGAAATACTGTCATTTCCATAAGTGGGTTAATAAGTTTTTTGGGTCTGGAGTCTAAAACAAAAGATGTTTTACAACTGCAGAGGCTAAAGAGATGGAAAGTGTTATTGCAGGCTGATGTTAATGTGCCCAGGTCAGTCTTGTGGCTACTCCCTTGAACCCTTTTTGCCCAGGCAGTAGTTGTTCAGTTCAGTAAGTAATGACCATTATTTATTATTAATTCAAAACATGGTGTGCAGGATTTCTGCTCGATGTTGAGAGCACATTAGCTTCTCCTGCACCAGAAAACACATGTTAATCTGTTTTCCATTATTGTCCAAAAGATCTTTTCAGAAGGCAGTTCATGTTGCCCCAACAGCATTAAAGGCTGTAATTAAAAATAATTTTCCATTAATTTATATACATGCACATTTACTTATTATGATCTTTTGCTGGATTTTCCCTAAGTGTACACCCAAAAGCCTAAAATGCTGTTGAGGAATAAGTCAATATTCACTGTAATGATCCAGTGTGGAGTGTGCCAGAACCCTGATGTACTTCAGTTAACCATCTTGCCTAACAAACACCTGCACAGGGAAATGGATCTTCTGTGAGAATCAGCAGAAAAATAAACCCTGACTTTTCTGCATGGGCAGAGGAAGGGAATTCCAGTATTTCACAGCTTTTACTGATAATGATCTGCTACAGATTAAAAACAAAAACCAGACATTATGGTGTTGGCAGATTGCAAAAGGACTTGCTGGTAAAGCTGCTGTTCAGAGGAGATGAGGACAGTGTTTATTGCTTCCATATGGTTCAGGCATACAAGACAGGCAGAATGTCTGGGGAGAATAATATGTCTTATTATATTGATACAGAACATTCTTTAGGGCTGTCAGCCCTTTCTCCTTGTACCTTTCCCAGGTGAGAGCCTGAGTGGGAAATATTTGCCCATGATTGAGCATGAAGATAAGAAAAGATTGCTTAAGGATTGGCTCCATTTGTGTGAGTGAAGTATTAGAAATGCTGATTTTTAAGGGATCAGGTCTGGGAGCTGCTCCCTAACACAGAGAACTGAAGGATCTCTTTTTTCCTTGACTATTTGTATAGTTTTCAACCCTTTGACTTTTCAATTCAGCTTTGCGAAGTGCATTAGGGGTCTAAATTTAGAGTTTGATAAAGTCATGTCAAAAAAACCCTCCTTTCAACATAATGTAAAATTGAATTTCTTGGTCTCTTTGACCTCTTGATTTTTTTATTTTTTTTTAGCCAAATTAAGAACCAAACTTCTGGGCACACTGAAACAGAAAACTAGGCGGTTGCTTTTGTATATGTGGGGAGTTGACTGAAGAACTGCAGTCTTTGACTGCTCCATAATTATCACTTGGGAAACACCTTTACATCTTGGAAAAATGACCCTGCTTGGAATTTTGGGAGTAAGACCTTCAAAGATCCAATGAATATGCTCAGATACCAATTTGCCTATTGCAGTGCAGAAAGGGGGACAGGCAGAGGAATTAGACATTTGCAGAGTGGTCCAGAAAACTCCAGGGGATCTCACCAGTCAGGAGATGAGCTGCTCAATGCTGCTGTGTCCTTTTCCAAATCAATATTGACAATTGGTGGTGTGCTGTGCCTGTTGCTGTGCCTGAGCTCCTGCAGCAGCCAGTTCTCTGTGTGATAACAAAACTTCTGCTCTCTTGTTCTCCCAGGGCTGATGAAATCGAGATGATCATGACAGACCTTGAAAGAGCGAATCAGGTAGGATTTCAAATGAGTGCCCCATAAAATTCTAAGTGTGACTTTGATTATTCTTTTTTAATTCTCTTTTGGATTTCACGACAGTTTTTTTTATATGCATTTCGCAGTCATAACTGTGTGGAGTAAGAAAATATGCAAATTTTGAGCAAAATACAGCTCTTCAGGGATGCTCTCTAAGGACTGTGTGCACAGTGGAGCAGTGCTTGCCATATATTTACCTTCTAATAATTTAATCTTATGCTTCTCACTGTAGTTATTCTTGGCTTTATGTTTCTAAGTCCGTCATGTTGGCCCCTACTCAGACATGCAGGTGGATGGTTTCCCAGATTAAAGGGCCTCTGTCCTGTGGCAGGACTGCAGATTTTGGGGTCTTCTCCAGACTTTTTATCCCCCTTCCTTTTCTGCTGTGTTTTATTGGCATATTAATTTTTAGCAAGGGTTGGATCAGACTGTTCTTCCTGTGCAGGACCACAAAGAAATTGCCATTTGTTCCTGCAGATACTAATTTGGGCTGTGAAATGTCTCTCTGGTCACTCCTCCCAGTGCACACACTCCTGGCATGAGTGGCAAAAATACTGACTTTTAACAAACCAAACCCACCAACCTTGCAGAGAACCTTTCTGAGTGAGTGAGGTGCTGGAGATGTGCATGGCCAGGCAGGATTCCATGAGACTGGAAATTCCACAAGCAGTGGGGTGCTGCTTTCACTGAGGGAAACCTCAGCCAGGATTTGCTTATCAGTGAGCTTCATTAATCCCTCTGCCAGGTACCACCAGAGATTGTCATCTTCAATCTCCCAGGCTATGGGTTTATAATCCAGATGAAGTTTACCTAAGAGCAGCTCCCTTCCAGGAGGAATAGTGGCAGCTCCTTCCCCTGCCTGGGTCCTGCTGTCAGCAGTGGTTGTGTGAGCCAGACCAGGTCACTGATCCTGTTGAAAATGTACCCCCTGCTCCAGCTGCTGTTTTGTTTTGTCTTTTCCCTTTTGCCAGATCAGCTTTCAGCCCCCACACTCCCTGCTGCAGCTGTCAAGTCTGCAGTGAGTGCTGTTGGCCTTTGCATTAGTTCTGGGAAAACTGGAAAAATGCAAATCACAGAATCATTTCCACTGGAAAAGCCTTCCAGGATCACCCAGTCCCACCATCACTCAGCACTGCCAAGGCCACCACTAAGCCATGTCCCCAAGTGCCACATCCACAGGGCTTTGAAATCCCTCCAGGGATGGGGACTCCACCACTGCCCTGGACAGCTGTGCCAGGGCTGGACAACCCTTTCAGTGAAGAGATTTTCCCTGATATTCAACCTAAACCTCCCTTGGAGCATCTTGAGGCTGTTTCCTCATGTCCTATCACTTGTAACCTGGGAGCAGAGCCCAGCCTTCACCTAAAGTCTCCTTCCAGGGAGTTGTTGGGAGAGAAAAGCTCCCCCTGAGCCTTTTTTTTCCCCAGACTGAGCCCTCCCAGCTCCTTCAGCCATTCCTGGTGCCCCAGACATTTCCCCAGCTCTGTTCCCTTCCCTGGACACACTCCAGCATCTTAATGTGTTAATGAAGCCAAAATCGTATTTGTAAGTTGTTGAGTTGATTATTTAGTCAGTAAAAGCAAACTGGTGTTTGAACAGTGGGTTTTTAGTTCTGTCAAACTTTTGTAGACAGCATTAAATATTTATGAAAGTGCTAGTAATTATTTGAAAATTTGTAGACTTTTGTGAAATTATGTAGGTGTTAAAAATGTTTTGGTAGAATTATTTTGTGATTTTTGCAAAGGCAGTACATTTTGCAGTGATTTACCCAGTAGTTGGTTTTTTCCCCTCAGTCTACAGGGGGCTGTAGTTAAAGAAAAGGTATTTCTGAATTCCTCATTGCCTCCAAAAATGGATTATACCTATTCATCTTGAAATGCTATTTTTCTGTCTAACTGATACAAAGCTGCAATGTAGGTTGTTTTTTTTTACTTCATTGTGGTACTTGTCTTGTAATTAGGTAATATTTACAACTACTTATGTGCATAACCCTTAGTTTGGTTGTTATTCTGCAAAATCTGACTGTACATAAAACCAGCATGCCCATTCATCTGAGCTGTTGGAAAACCAGAGGAGGGGATTCTGTCTCCCCTTGCCCCATCTCCTTCTCCTCCTCCTCCTCCCTCCTGGCTGCTGAGGTCCCATCCCCTCCCAAACAGCAGCTCTGGCCCCTGGGGAACCCTTCACTGAGCTCAGCAAGTGCAGCAAAGCCTGGATTTGGGATGAAGGGGCCACCTTTGTTCTCTTAGCAGCTTGAGGCAGCTCAAAAAAAAACACATGGGAGAAGCCACAGCACCCAAATCACAGAATCATGGAATGGTTTGGGTTGGAAGGGACTTCAAAGATCATGGGCAAGGACACCTTCCACTGTCCCAGGCTGCTCCAAGTCCTGTCCAACCTGACCTTAGATCCAGGGACAGCCACAGCTGCTCTGGGCACCCTGTGCCAGGGATCAGCACCCTCAGAGCCAAAAATTCCTTCCCAATATCCCATCCATCGCTGCCCTCTGGCAGTGGGAGCCATTCCCTGTGTCCTGTCCCTCCATCCCTTGTCCCAGGTCCCTCTGCAGCTCTCCTGGAGCCCCTTTAGCCCTGCCAGGGCTCTGAGGTTTTCTGGATCCCTCTCTCATCCAGGTGAGCACCCCCAGCTCTCCCAGCCTGGCTGCAGTGGCCTCCTCTGGAATTGTGTCTTTGCTGTGCTGGGACCCCACAAGGGACACAAAGGGACACAGAGGGACTCTGTGGCCTTGGAGGAGCTGCAGAAGGGAAGGGCAGGTTCAGTGGCTCAGCTCATTTGCTGAAACACACCCATAGAGTCTTTGCCTTGTGTGGTGCTTTACCTTTATAAAGCACTTTGATGAATTATATCTAATCTTTGTAGCAGCAATTCCTGTGTTTTACCTCTTCATAGTTGAAAAAAAAAAATTACTGGAAGAAATTAAATCTATTGCATAGGCCAGAAAGTGAGTTTGCATCAGGCTGAAGTGTTACAATTGCAGAAACAAGTACTTAACCTAATTATGTATTTAATAGTTAAATTAACATTTCCTTTTACCATTTCAGTAAGTGCTCATTCCCCATTATTAAGGCTACCTTTAAAGAGTAGTGCTCAGCACGATTCCTGCTTTGCTCAGGGACTGCCTTGCTGATGTGGATGTGATGTTTTGCTGCTCTGACCCGGACCACTGGGATTCAGAACACAGATTTACATGTTTCCACTGAAAATATGGAAAAAAGAAATGAGTGTAAATTTTTATATATCTGACACTTCTTGAAAATGCATTTCCGTGTTATCTCCCTTTTTAAATCCAGAGCTGGCACTTCAGAACCTGCTGTTGTGAGGACTCTTCTCTGGCTCCTGGGAGGTGGGGAGTGCCTTTCCCACCCCAGTTCTGCAGGAACAGGAGAGTGGATGTGCCCCCTGCCCTTGGTCCAGGTGTCCACAGAAATGATCAAATCCACAGGGACAGAGCTGGCTCCCTGTGTCCTGTGGGGTGAAGCAGGGACCAATCTTATCCTCAGCTCCATCACCTCTCTTTTCCCAATGATTTTTCTCACTTAGATCCTCAAGTTTTTTTCATGCAGGAGCTTTCTGGGCTACTTTGCTTAATACCAGCCCCAGAACAAATTACTGGTTCATCAGAATAATTGCCTTAAATGCCAGTGAGCTTTGCAATTTTGTGCTCAGAGAGGGAGGTATAGTGACCACAAAGCTCCCTCCCTCTCCATTGTGTCATTAATACAAGGTGTAAACTGAATTTTCCCACAAAATGTAACAGTGGGAGAAATGACTCCCTCACTGGGTGCTGCAGATGAGGGGTGGGGACAGCCCCTTTTTCTCAGCTGCTGATCCAGGTGCTCAGTGCCATTAATCCACGATCTTGAGTGGGATTTTATGGCAGGGCTGCTCCATTCTGGCTGGCAGAGAGGGTGACATGGGTGTAACCCTTCCCTTGGAAAGTCCTGAGAGGGTTTTTTATATAAAAAAGGCAAGAATAGTGCATGAAATGTCTGGTCCAGCTGCCTGGAGGGGAGCTGTTAGCTCCTGCCATGGAGCTTTAGGAAGGGTGTGAGATCTGAAGCCAAAACCCCCACTGGTTCCATGGTGAAAGGTGCAATTCCATCATCTCCAAAATCCACCAGGAGAGCTGTGCTGCAGAATTCCTGTCCACGTTCTCCTCATCCCCAGGGCTGTGGGACTCAGTCCCACTGAGGACACAATAGAGCCAAATCCAAGAGGAAGGGCTCCTTTCACTTTATTAACCCAGCAGCTCAATGACAAAACTTGATAACATAACCCAGAGTTCCCCCTGCATTTCCATGAAGATTTAATAATGCTGTAGTTTGGTGAAGGGACTAGTTTTATTAAGATTTCATTTTGCACAATAAATCACTGCATATTTTCTGATATGCTACGAAGTATAAGAATAAATAATTAAAACTAAACTACACGTACTTGTCAAAATAAATGATTTATCATAGTTTGGGATACAGCGTCTTTGAATTTTTTATTGTTTGATTCCCAGAATATTCTAATTTCCAATCAGGGAAGTTAATGAAGCTCCAGTATGCATTTCTGCATTCACAGCAGTTACAGTTGTGTGACTGTTTATTTTAGACAAATATTTATGGTTAGCACTTTCCTGTACCTTTTCAAGTTTACACCTTTCCAGTGTTTATGGCAGCAGAGTCACGAATCTTTTGGGACTACAAATTTATTCAAATGAATTATTGTTCCATTTCTGTACTTCATCCAGGAACCTGGAATCATCCAGTTGTGCCTGAGAAAAACAGAGGTTTTTGTTGGGAAGAATAATTTCTAGGTTGTGAAACCAGAAATATTGAAATGTATTCTAATATTTAAATATATTATATTTTATATAAATGCATTTGATTGTTTAAAATTACAGCTGGGTTTGTTTTAAGGTTTTAATGCTGAGTCTGAATTTGTAGCTTCATGTCATTGATGTGTCCAGATCT